TAATCTCTCACCACATTCTCCCAGCCCCCCAACCCCCCTTCCTCTGTCACCAAATTGTTCACTATATTTGTGAGTCTGTTTTTGATTAGTTCTTTTTGTTAGATTTGTCAGCTGAGTAATATTCCATTGTACATATGAATCATAATTTCTTTATCCAATCGTCTGTTGATGGGCATTTAGGTTGCTTCCATATCTTGGCTATTGTATATTGTGCTGCCATGAATATTGAAGTGCATAGATCTTTATGAATTATTATTTTGGTTTTCTTTGGGTAAATACCCAGAAGTGCAATTGCTGAGTCAAAAGTATAACCATTTTTAATTTTTTGAGAAACCTCCACACTATTTTCCATAGCAGCTGTACCAATTTGCAATCCCACCAACAATGCACGAGGTTACCTTTTCTTTGCATCCTCGCCAACACCTGCCGTTTTTTGATTTATTGATGATAGCCATTCTGACAGGTATGAGGTGATATCTCATTATGGTTTTAATTTGCATTTCTCTGATGATTAGTGACCTTGAGCATCTTTTCATATGTCTGTTAGCCATCTGTATTTCCTCTTTGGAGAAGTATATGTTCAGGTCTTCTGCCATTTTTTAATTGGATTGTTCTTTTGCTGCTGAGTTGTATAAGTTCTTTATAAATTTTGGATATTAACCCCTTATCAGATGTGTCATTAGCAAATATCTTCTCCCAGTCGGTTTTCTTTTTATTTTGTTGATGGTTTCTTTTGCTGTACAAAATGGTCTCATTAATTTATCTATTGTGTTCCTGTCTTCTATTCCATTGATTTCCTCTTTTATCTTTATTTCCTGTCTTAGGCTTGCTTTGAGTTTAGCTTATTCTTTTTCCAGTTTTTAAGGTAGAAGCTTAGGTTGATTTGAAACCTCTCTTCTTTTTTGATACAGGCATTTAAAGCTTAAATTCTTTTAACCACTGCGTTAGCTTGTGTTACATAAATTTTGATGTGTTGTATTTAATTCATTCAGTTGAGAACATTTAAAAATTTTCCTTTGTGATTCTTCCTTGATCCATGAGTTATTTAGAAGTATGCTGGTTAATTACCATATATATGGGTAACCTTACTTTCTTTTTGGTTGTTATTTACAGTGGGCTATTCAAATCTTTAACTATCATTGTTAAATTATTTATTTCTCCTTTCAATTATATCAGTTCTGCTTTATATATATTTAGGTCTCTTTTTAAGAAAACATATAATTGTGTTTTCTCTATGTATTGTTTTACCCTTTTATCATTCTGAAATGATATGCATATCACTTTTCATCTCTTTACTTTCTACTTGTGTCTTTGAATGTAAAGTATATCTTTCATATACATCATAGTTTTTTATTTTTATTTTTTTAAATTCAGCCTGCCAAACTCAGTCTTTCAAATGAAATGTTTAAACCATTCACATTCTAATGGAATTCTTAATATAGTTTTGGGCTTTTACTATGTTTCATATTTTTATATCTTTGTTGCTCCTTTACTGCTTTATTTTCGGTTATTTTTTAGTTTACTGTTTTAATTATCCTAATTTTTGAGCTATTTTTAATACTTTGTGAGCTATTTTCTTATTTTTTGCTCTATTAATTACAATGAGCATTTTATCATAATCTACTTCAGAGTAATAGTTACCTAATTCTGATAACATATAAAGCTTTTCTATTTTTATTTCCCATTTCTTTGTGCTATTATTGCCATCTATATTATGTGTATGTTGTAAACTCCCCAAAAGCAGTGTTATAATCATTACACGATCATAACTTTTAATTGAATAGAGGGAAAAAATGGGAAATATATTTATAATTAAAAAAAAATTTACCTGCATATTTATCATTTCTAGAGATCTTCATTTCTTCCTATAGATTTGAGTTACTGTTTGGTGTCACTTTTGTATTTAGTATCAACTTCCTTTAGTATTTCTTGTAAGGCCCATGTACTAGCAATGAATTCTTGCAGTTTTAGTTTCCTTAGGAATGTCTTTTTTTCTCTTTCATTTTTTGAAGGATAATTTTGCTGGATATATAATTCTTGGTTGACAGGTTTTTCTTCCAGGACTTCAAATATCTTTCCACTGCATTCTGGCTTCTGTTGTTTCCATTGAGAAGTCAGCTGCTAATCATGCTGTTGCATGATGAGTCACTTTTATCTTGCTGCTTTCAAATCTGTCTTTCAACATTTTGACTATGGTCTGGCTGTGTGAATCTCTGTGTTTATGCTACTTTATATTTGTTGAGATTTTTGAAAGTGTAGATTAATTTTTAAAATAAAATTTGGGAAGTTTTTAGACATTATTTCTTCAAATATATTTTCTGCCCTGTTCTCTTTTTTTCCTCTCTTCTGACTCTCCCAGACACATATGTTGAAATGCTTGATCTTGCCCTAGAGGTGTCTGAGGCTCTATTCATTTTTTTCAATCATTATGTTCTTTCTTTTCCCTTGTGGGTTATTTTCAACTTATCAAGTTGTTGATCCTCTTTTGTATCCCTTAGTGAGTTTTTTCTTACTTTTTAACTCCAGAATTTTCATATCTCTTTTAAAACAAATTCTGAGATTTATTGATTCATTGTTAATTTTTATAAACATGGTTGAACATATTTGTAGTAACTGCCTTGACATCTTTACTAAATGCAACGACATATGGTGGTGATCAAGATAGCTTCTATTGGCTGCTTTTTCTATTATGGGTCACACCTTTTTTGCAAACCTTATAACGTTTGAAATTAATTCATGCTTTCTAGTGTGTAATAAATATTTGCAAAATTGTTTGAGAATAAGGTTTTCTCTAATATCTGGTGTAAACTTGATGTATTGCTATATGACCTATCTTATTATGTTGCTTAGGTCATCTATAGCCTTTTTTCCTACTTGACATTTGTTGGACTAAAAGTCGAAACCTCCTACTCTTAAGTGTATTTCTACTTTCCCTTGAATCTCTATGGTATCTGTTTTGAGACTGTGGGTTGTGATATTTATTCATAACTGTTATATGATTTTGAATTGTGCCCTTTAGCAAAACATGCTTAATGCCTATTAGTCTGAATTCTACCTTGAAATATCACAATTTCTATCTCTTTTGTTTCCATTTTTCTTTATGTTCAGACTTTCTGAGTAATTAAGTTTGGTTTGTTTCTTGTTTATAGCATAGAGTTGTATTTTGCTTTGCGGACAAATTTAATAATTTTTCTTGGAGAGGGCATTAATTGAAAGCACATTTACTGGCATGATTTATGTTTGGTCTCAAATCATTCTATTCATTGTATTAACTGTGTATAAGGTGTTATGGTTTATTTTTCCTTGTATGAGGTTTAATTTATTTTGCTTAAAACAAAATCTATGAAGGTTTGTATTTGGCTATACTAATTATCTTTACACTCATAACTTCTTATAATGCCCTTAATCTTTTTTTTTCTTAATCTTCTAGCATTTCCCTTGTTCTAAATATCCTGAACTCCCAATGTCTTCACAATGAGCTTGTTTGCATTTTTCCTCTCTCCCATATTAGTATCATCTTTGTCAGAATATATAACATTTACATATTATTTTTCCACTTGTCCCATCTTTAGTGTTGTATCTAATTATATTCATTGCTCATATCTATCTTTTTGATGGAATTTTCTGTTATTTCCGGATTACATGAGGCTGTCTCTGAGTAGATTCTTCAGGAAAGGCTCATGAACACAGTATTGAGCTCTAATTTTAAATTGTTTTTCTATAAACTTGTTACATGAAAGACCGCTATTCTGAATATAAAGTCCTTGAATTCACTTTCATTTTTTGCCTTGGATCTCTTGAAAATGCTGCTTCACTTTTGTTTTGCTTTGTATGTTGATGCTGAGAAATAAATTTTTGTGTTCCATCATCCTTAAGCCTCCTACTCCATTCTCTTTATCAGGCAATAAGTAGGGAAATAAAGTTTAAGTACTCTCCACAGCAGAATCCATACTGTAAGTATGGGTTATGGTTGTTTGATGTCACCATATAGACAGTGTTTTGGGAAGATGGAGATAGATTTAGGTGGCCACGATTCTCCTCAAACATCTCTATCATCTGGGACAAAGATTTTATGTCCATGAGGAAAGATGACATCAGGTTCACACATCAGATTATTGTCTTATTTCATAGATTTTAAGACGAACCTTTCCCATTCACATTACTATCTGATATTGAAATGCATCTTACAATTGATAGCATATTACAGACAGCAGAGTTGTTTTCTTTAGTGGTACCTAACATAAACACACATGGTCAAGTTAGTGGGGTTCTGAATTGGAAGTACTGCTATCTTTTCTGACTTGATTTGCCTCAAATCTCTAATTTTTTTTGAGTTGAAACCTCACTGTAGACAATAAAAAGGGCGCAGTCATTTGTCTTCTTCCCCCGTGGGCAACTGTGCTGAGTGGAAATAGGCTCCCAATGATTCAAATGCTGCTTGCCACAGCCACTGCCTTTCTCAAGAGGATTATTCTAGTGCACCTCAGAACTAAGAGAAATTTGTAACTTGCTTCATATTTCAGAGAACTGTTAATACAAATTTATCATTTCTAGCAGATATTTTTGGTGTTGTACTTTATTGGATTGTGGTCACTCTATAGTTTTAATAAAAAGACTTTATTTTTGTTTAAATTGTTGGTATGTTTCAAGGACTGAAGTTAAACAATGTGTGTTGTTCCACCATCTTTCCCAGGAACTTCCAATCCCTTTTGAAAAGTAGCAATAAACATGTAGATGTTGCAATTTTGACTTAGAAAGTATAAAAGCAGCTGAAAAGTTACTATCCTCATCCCTTTATAAAATAATGGTTCTGGTGTTTCTGTAGTTCTATGCAGCCAAGGTTTAAACTAGTAAGAACTTAGGAAACTTCAGATACTGTACACTGAAATACTAAGAAAATAAATTAATATTTTCAAATACCCCTACCCACAAACAATACCACTCTAGATTTACAAAAGCAAGAGACTATTCTGTTGAATACATTACATACACAAATAGACTCATTATCAGGAATGTAGATTTATTTCATTAAAAATAAAACATTCATTCCCAGAGTACTGTATCCTTTAAAGCAGCAGCAGCGATCACAAGGCACGTATATGAAATATCTCAAGCAAAATCGAAACCAAACATTAAAAAATGTGTTATTTAAAAAGATGGTGAACACAGATTATAAAAATGACATTTTTAAAAACAATTTTCTTCCTTTACCTTTAATACGATAGGAATAATGGTGTAATATTTATGCAACATCTTGTGGCACATATCACAAACATTTATACCACCTAACATGATTTGCTAAAGAAAAAACCGCTAAAGTACAGCTTAAAATGTTTATTTATAGTGCTTTACATTATTTTTTAGATATTTGGAATTAATAAGCTGAAAAGAAAAGAATTCTTTTCCTTAGCTTAGAAAAATCCTAGTTATATGTCCCTAGGCAAACCCACCATACAAAAGAGAAATATACTGAAGATATTCTAAAATACCGAGGACATGATTTATATTTGGGATCATCACAATAACCCTCTTTCCTAAAAACAGAGTAGAGGTCAACACATAATAAATGTAAAGGTCAATTATATTAAAATAAGATAGTATCTGATTTAAATTATTGCTCACATAGGAAGTATAATGACAAGTCTCTGGTTAGGGATGCTAAGATTAGCTGTTAGAAATTGTGTGCAATCAATATTTAGTGTATATAAAATTTCCAGGATTCAAATATATTATAAAGTTTATAATAATTGCACAAAAAGTGTTCCGTTATATAGTAGCCACCATTGAGCTTCACACGATGAAGACTGTAAAAGATGTGGTTGAATTAGATCTTCAAGAATATATTTTGTGTCATCTATGCTGAAGTGTTCCTCTAAGCTGTAATGTTGTAGACATTTTTCTATGAAATCTTAAGGAGTGCTTAGAGAATCTTCACTAGTAGAAGGAGAGAAGATAAACTGAAGCTCCATTTTTTAAATAATGAAAACAAACAAAAAAAAGAATAGAAAATACTCGTATAATAAAACATTTAAATAGTACTAAATAGCATGGTTTAAATATCAGTTATATGCTGTCATTAGTTTTCATTACAAAAAACAAACAAAAAAATCAAAATAAAAACAAAAAAAGAGTTCCTGGGCTTTTAGATGTGTTTTCTTTGTAAAAATAACCAGCATCTTTCTCAAGGTCGCACACCGAATCCACATCCACAGCATCTGGCAACAATGCAGGTAAAACGCTCGCTCATTCCTAACAATACCGAGGCCTGTCTACATGTTGTGTGGCAGGGCAACCACCAGGCCCTGAGACAGACTATAGCAGGACAGCCTGGGCCACCTCCTTGATTGTGGATGCAGCTTTCTCCAGTTCTTCTTCTGTTTGTTCCACTGTGACCACAACCCTAATGCTGAGAAATAAAGGACACAAAAAATCCACCAGTCAGCTTGCCACGGGTTTTTGTGAATGAAGCTAATGGAACACAGCCCACTCAGTAGCTGACCTGTTGTCTACAGCTGTTTTCTCACTTCTACGTCAAGGTGAGGAAGTGTGGCAGGGACCCTGTGCCCTGTAAGCCTAAAACATTCATTACCAGGCCATTTACAGATGTTTGCCACTCCCCACTTAGAATGTTAGTATGTGTCTACTTGAAATAACCCTGCAGTGGGGCTCTGCCCAGGATGTGAGGAAACTTGGTCTTTTAAATAATCTAATGCTTCAAGCAGTTATAGGCCCAAAACAAGAACTCTAATTTCTCAAATTAATGAATTGATTGCTCATATTTATAATTCAGTAAGTCATGTAGAAGTTCTATAATACTTTGGGGCAAGACGGACATTTTCAAATTTTCAGGAAATTGAAATGACAAGAAATAACAGCGTCTCAGGGCAATTCTACCTCTGTCTCTCTGCAAACATCTGCTTCATCCACTGGACACATTTACTGAGATGTACTGTGCTGGGCATGGAGCCCCAGGGCATAAAATAAACATGGCCCCTGTTCTCCCAACATATTGGATTATACTTCTGGATGTGTTAGAAATAAGAAAGCAGGATCTTTAGGGTGCTTCTGAGCTGCTGCTATAGTGGTCTTCCAGAATCTCAGCCTGGCCATCCATGTCTGGACAGCACTCTGACTCTGGTGCCCCTAGCTACTCCTGGGGCCTTCCCTAGGTTCCCTCTCACTGGTGCCTCTCAAGCTTGTGCTCTGGCTCCCCCTACACACCTGGAGGTCTCCATGCCACGGTATGCCCTGCTAAAAGGCTGATGCCCATGAGATCGTCTCACATATTCCATTTTCTGGGCTTGGCGTATGCATTATCTGCTGTCAGATATCTGAGTCCCTCCTAGGCCAGAAGGAACTATGGTTTCCTCTTTCGTGACCTCACTACCCTTGTGCCATGACCCTGAACATGCCATGCTTTGGGTGTCTACCTCCTTCAACTATACTGGATGTGCTTAGAGAGCAGGATGTTTTGTTAAATCATGAATCAAAGCGCATCCCTATGCAGGGCTTTCTGAATCCCTTAATTTTTCCTGCCACTGCTTTATTTCATGGGTGTTTTGTAAGTTCATCTGCTGGATGAATTGCCCACATGGTGTTCCACCCACAGATGAGGTGAGCACTGCGACCGAATATGCCCCTCTGCAGGACTGTCCTCAAGGTAAAAACTGCTGGCATGGTGTGTGCCACTTCAGGGGTGTGGTAGATATTTGCTAATTGAAACTTCCACTGTCCCAGTCTGTTCTGATATCTCGGACATTTCTTTAAGTCAACTAAGGGGGTACTGCGAGTCCTGAGGGGATTTTCAGTTATAATTTGAAAACATCTAGTTTAAGAACAGAAAACAGGTGATATACTATGTTTTAACGGTACACATTCCTCCTTGCTCTGTGAGTCGTTCCCAAAATTTCACAACATAACACATTTCATACAGATTTCAGAGTAGGAAAGAAAATAAGGTCGTACTTTAATATTCACCAACCTTGGAGGAGGGAGGCACTTCTCTTCTTTTTCCAAGTAACGTGCCTGAGTTAAAGCGATGCTTCTGTTCATGCACTGTATGAAGAAAAGGAATACATTTGCATCTAGATGCAGACACTGTTATATAGTTAAAACAGGGGGGTATACTGAAATGCTATCTTCAACAGTAATTTTAATTCATTTTTCCAACTATAACTGCTAGAAGATAAAACTAAAATATCACAACATAATCAAGAGCAGCACTGTTCTATAGAATTTTCCACAGTGATGGAGGTGTTTGTTCTGCACTGTCTAGTACAGTAGCCATGAGCCCACGTGGCTATCAAGCACTTTAAAATATGGCTAGTGCCACTGGGAGACTGAGTTTTTAGTTCTACTTAAGTTTAAACAGTCACAGGTAGCTAGTGGTTACCATTTTAGACAAAACAGAGTTAGGACACAGGGGAACAATGCCAGCAAAGCCCTGTAGGCTAACCAAGAGTTGCACTTAAGAACAACGCCAGCAGAGCATTTCGGAGAGAAACTGCTCATACTTCAAATACTAGCAATACCTCTGATTCCTGTGTGCTACATTTTGCCAGGTGCTACCAGGCACAGAAGAGCCTGGTGTCACAAATGTTTTGCACGGCTTTCCCATGCATTAACCACCTGCCAACATTAAAAAACAAAACAAAACAAAAAAACAAAAAAACTAAAACATTCTCTATCAAAATAAAGCGTAAAAATCAGATCAAGGTAGTAGGTTACAGGGGGTTCTTTTATGGTGATGAAAACGCTTTGGAATTAGAATGATGGATGCACAATCTTGTGAGTATATGAAAAACCAATCAACTGTATACTTTATTTATTTATAATTTATTTTTTTTAGGCAAGGCAACCTTTGGTTGACCTCACAGATTGCAAGAAACTTGTCAGCTTACAATCTCTTATTTTTTATGCCTACAGCACCTGGTCTTCCTAGGTGGTCTCTCATGCAAGTACTAACCAGGCCCGACCCTGCTTAGCTTCCAAGATCAGATGGGATCAGGCTTGTTCAGGGTGGCATGGCCATAGACTCAACTGTATATTTTAAAGGTAACTTTTATGGTACGTGAATCATATTTTTAAAAAAGAATCAATCAGAGCAAGTGGTGGTATAAGGAGAGAACTATTATTCCCTGTGTGTGGCAGTAAAGTATTTGCCAGAAACTGGGCTGTTTTGTAAGCTGCAAGGCTGGTTTTTCTCTGCTAGGAAAATATGGAAAACAATACCAGGCAATGATGATAGACTTGTGCTGCTTCTACATTCTGGAAGTGTACCTGGAAAAGTTCACTCCTGAAAACATCTGGACTGGCTGATTTTAGCCCTGGCTAGTTAAGGAACATTATAAACCAACCTTCAGTATGTAAAAACAGTGTTTTGTCAAGCAACTCAACAAAAACTTGACAAGACTTCTACGAAGCTTAAACAAGTTACATTCCATGATTCTTTCCTCTCTCTCAAATATTGAAAAGAAAGAGAGGAGTGGGACAAAGGATTTTTAAAATGGAAGCTGTGATGACGCCAAGAAACGGTAAAAACTTTCTTTTTCCTTCCTACAAATGCAGTTTCCAGCCAGTATTTTGTTCCCTCTCCAAAGACTATGTTCTCTTCTCATTCAGCTCTCAAGATGATTTCTTGAAGACAGCCCATGTCGTGCTGGGGCCCAGACAGTATTTGGTGACCTGTGAGTTGTCCAGTGACTTTCACATTCTCTTTTTCATTATGAGGATAATCTGTGTAAGTGGAATATATTAGTATCCAGTCATTTCATTCACTTGCCCTCTTCTGTGTGTCTCTCTGCATATAGTAGTAAGACCTAACCTGTTGCTGTCTAGTGAGAAAAGAACAGATGTGGATTTAACAAGGACATGACATCCCATATGGCATCTAGAGAAGGCCCATGTCCCGCATACAAAGCATGTTCAGAGAATTGTCCTGAGGAGGTTTAGGTGTCCCTGTAGACTCCAACATGGGACATGCAGCTTCAAAGGCCTGCTCTGCACCAGTTGTGTCTGTCATACCACCAGGGCAATCCAGTTTAGGAAACAAACTTGCTGTCACATGGAGGCAATGTGATGAATTTGACTTTTAATGCCTCGTCTGTTTAGCTTCTACTTAATTTATAAACTTGTTTTGGTATCACATTTGTATACGAACTGTAATCTCAAGGATGCTGTACTTCTTTTTATGTCTGTAAGCATTTAAGTGACATTACGATAAAAACACCAAGGCAGTAAATGTGGTCTATGGGATGTCTGTCCTTTTAAAGACCTGCCTTTTTTCACTTTTGCAGAGGTGTACCTGAGGAGACATCTATGATATTTCTTTACTCAGCAAGGCATAAGCCCTCACTCCAGCCCAATCCTTTGTAAGCTGACACGTTTTCTTAATTAGGAATCTCACATTATGGGTTTGGTTTTATTTTGGCTTTTTAAGATGACTGATTCCAGAAGGCCACAAAGTGTATGAAACTGTCCAGGAATCTGTTATTCTAGGTGATACGGTTCATACATTGTAGGCACAGGATGCCCAAAGCAAGCTGTGAAGCCAGAGGATGGTTTCACACTGTGGTCTCCATAGCCACGTGACTATAGGCAAGGGCCTGACCTCCATGAGCCACAGCTGGAAGAAGGCATATGACAGACGGCAGCCATCACAATTACCCTGACTCTGGGCAGCAGGGACTTGGAGAGGAGCCTCCAGAATGTCAACAGGAACAAGTAGGATAAGGGAAAAGAATATAGCCCATTTTTGCTTTCAAATACATAGTAAATGCATTTCAGATTCAAATAAAAGGCAGTGCCACCCCTGGGCACATGTGCTCACAGAGCTGCAGGGCCACTGGACAGTTTTGAGGGGGAGCGGCAGCATGGAGGATGCCAAGGAACGCAGCTCTGCCGAACAGAGAAGGGCGAGTGGTCTTCCCCAGTGAACATTTTCTGATTAATAAGATTAGTAGTAAATTGACTTTAAGATGATAAAGATATTGAAATCAACTTCCCAAATCAGGCATGGTAACAAAGTGGTCTTCTTCCTTTTTGGTTATAAGAGTATTATGGCCTGTTTCTGAGCTGTGCTGGGGGTTCACTCCTTGACAGTCAGCTGTTCAGTGCTGCATGCAGTCTGTCACTATACACAATGCCATACCCGCACATATATAGAAAGCCTGGCTTGCTTGCTCGAGTGCACGCGCGCGTGCGCGTTCTCTCTCTTTCTATCTAATCTATCTATTTATTTTTAGGCGAGGCAACCCTTGGTTGACCTCACAGATTGCAAGGATCTTGTCAGCTTACAATCCCTTATTATTATTGTTATTTTTTATTTTTTACGCCTACAGCATCTGGTCTTCCTGGGTGGTTTCCCATCCAAGTACTAATCAGGCCTGACCCTGCTTAGCTTCCAAGATCAGATGGGATCGGGCTTGTTGAGGGTAGCATGGCCGTAGACAAGCCTGGCTTTCTAAATAGTAAGCGAATGGGTTTTCTGGAAGGCTAGTTATTCAGAGAAGAAGCGAAGTTAATTTTAATACAGTGTGGCACAGAACACAACACCTTCAATAAGAGGTGAAAACCCTTTGATGTGATATAAAAATGGACCCAATGGGATGAACTGTGTCTGTCAGTAGAGACATACTACAGGCAGAGTCAGACACGGGTAAGGCTGGGCATCAGAACAATTCTCCGAAAGGGGTGGCCAGCCACTTGTTATACCCTATCCCTGGGGGCAAAGAGAGCTATCTTAAAAATGACATTAAAAAACTGCTTGGGATCAGGGGAGGGGTGGTACAAGGAGATTCACTTGATTAACTAGATACTTACTTGATTTACAATTTCCTGAAGTAGTTTAACATCCTCTTCTCTTGATCCAGTGCTCTCTGCTAGCTGCAGGTGAAATGCTGGAGAAACTGCCTCCCCCACCACTTTTAATCCAGAAATGCTGAAGAAGGGAAACATATACAAACACACACAAATCAAAGCATAAATCCCTCCCAGGCTCAGGTATTTCTCATACAAATAATTTTAACAAAGTCTGCATTAATAAATGTAACAGAAACCTGTGACTTTTACGGGAAATATCCTGTGGTGGGGTTCCGATTCTGACAAAGAAAGGTTAAATGCATGCTCTGTGCAGTGCTCGTACTCTAGGACCCTGGAATGCTGTTACTGTGTACACTGCAGGGAGGGAGGCACCTATTCTTGTGGTTACCTCTGGTTCACATGTCACAGAAGCACAGGAGTCATCTCTAGTTTCTCACCAGGAGGTGTGCAGGCCCTGCTCCCTCACCCACCTTGGCTCAGGTGGCCACTCCTCATAGGCTGCTCAGCCCTTAGGTCTCAGCCCTGTCATTTCCTTTCCTCATCTGTTCTCCCATTCTTCCACTGCTAGAGCCAGACACACCTGGTCCCAGCCCCAGTATCACTTCCCAGGGGCTTCCCTCATCATCCACTTTAGGAAAGGGTCTGCGTCATCATTTTCTATTACCTCCTCTGTTTGTTTCCTTCATGGACTACTTATTACAGTTGATGATGTTTCCTTACGAAGTCTTTAGTTTGTATCTTGTCTTCTCATAAATTATAGGGATGATTTCTGACATTGAAAGTGTTATAATTTGACTACCAGTAACAGCTTTAGATTAAAAAGTTCCCTTATTATTTGCATGCTTAATTTTAAATTTTACTTGAGTTAACAGTTATTTTCTTCTTTCTTACGATTAACAGCATAGAGATCTGCTGCTTCTCAGAGAGAAAGACATTTCTTTAAGTATGAAACCCTGTATTTTCAAATGATTATTATGGATGTCATGAGAACTGTATTTAGTCAGGTTCATTTAGTCAAGTCTATTTTATCCTATAATAAAAATACTGTTTGATTTTTGACCTCCTAGAACACAAATGGTAATACTTATTTATCTCAAATTAGGCTAAACATTTTAGATTGCTTTCATTTAGTTTGTTTTACCTTGAAAGATGTGTTTTTCTCTTAGAATGGAATGAGTACAGAAAGCACTTGGTAGCATATTTGATTTCTCAAATACGTCTAGGACTCAACAGCTTTTACTCAGTGAGCACCACATGTCACGTTATCATGTGAAGTGCTGGAAGCTAAAGTCATCTGGCTTTCAAAGGTAATACACCATGCTATGATTTCTCAATAAACCAGGGTGAGGATCTGAATCATAAAATCGTATTTTGTACCAGCCTAGGAATCAGTATTTTGGTAGCTTCAATAAATGATTGAGCAGTTTTTCTACTTTTCCTGCTTTATGAAGCCACTGTATAAGACCAGGCTTGATATTTGTTTCTTCAAAGTTGGGCAGGACTCCCTCCCAACTTTGGCCGCACCTCTTTAAAGCTCTACCTTTAAAATCCAAACACTTCCCACTACTACTATGAAGGTCAGAGTCACCATCACCTTTTGCACACAGTAATGTGATAATCTCCTGACTGGTTCTCCTTGCCTCCAAACTTGCCACCGCGTAATCTAATCTAATCTGATCTGATCTAATCTAATTTTTTTCACAAATCAAGAACGATTTTGCTAAGACAGAAGTTTAGTCACATCACATCACTCTTTTGGTTAGAATAAAGCCATGGCTTCTCATGTGAGCTAGGTTCTGGTTGTGGTCTCCAAGGCCCAGCATGCCCTGGTCTCATCATCTTATCCTTATCTTCTACTATGTTCCCCCAGTTTTTCCCTCTTGCCACGCTGGCCTCCTTGCTGTTTCATCTCTTGTTCCCTCTAAACATCTAGATCACCTGTGCGATGTGCTTCCATACCTGCCTTACTGTGTGTTTGGTATGAGATGCCTACAGATTCCTTCAAGTAGAAAAACCGAGTAAACCACTGGATATGAGAACTGGAACCCTAATGAGTGGGACAGACTGGAGATACAAATTTGGGAGTTGCCCACATACATGTATCATGAAACAATCTGAATCTCCAGGGGTGGAAGAACACAGTTCTCCAAGGAGGTGACAGAGAAAAGAATACCACAGACTAAGCCCTGCTGATGAGGATGATGCTAAAAGAAAGGCTTCAAAGGAGACCAAGATGAAGCGATTCAAAGACGCAGAAGAAAACCATAGTGTGGTGTAACAGGATCCAAAGAAATAAAGAGCTGCAAGAAGGAAAGAGCAGTCAACAGTGTTGAAGGCTAATGAGGTAAGTAAGATGAGCTCTGAAGATTGTATGCTGGATTTAGCAACAAGGAGTCATTGGTGACCTCTACAGGAACAATCTGGGTAAAGTTTAAGAACAGAGGCAGATTCAGTAGTTTCAAGTGTAAATGAGAAGGATGTGTACAAAACACAAACAACTCTGGAGACAACTAGCTACAAGGAGAAGCAGAGCGACAGGCTAGCTGCTAGAGGAAAAGGGGGGTCATGGAAAGAGGAATTTGAGAGGGCAGAGTGTACCTGAATGCTAATCGCATGACTCAGGAAAGAGGAGAGACTCATTACAAATGAGAGGGACAACCAAGGGTACTCGATCTTTAGAAAGAAAAGCTGTTATGGTTAGAGTAATATCTTTGTAACACAGGGTAAGACTAGTTCAGACACCTGTGGGTGTGTAGATTTGTTAAGGAAAATGAGGGAGTTTCCAAGTGACAGTGAGAGACAAGACTGTCAGCTAAAAGTTGGTGGAGTGAGAGGGTTAGGGACATTGCAGAGATGAAAAGCTATAAAAGATGAAAATAAGCAAAGGACTGGATTTATAAAATAAACACATTAACACTTCCAGACAGAATAAAGGGCACGTTCCTGAATTTATAGTGACTCCAATGTGCTGGCCTATGTCGGTATATTAATATTTTATAAACCAATGTAACTGGAACCAATATAAGTAATATCTCTCTACCATAAATCATGCAAGAACTTGTATTGCTATTATGTAGACACACCCAGAACTTTCATTATTTCTGTCCTTACTTTATCTGGAACAGCTGTGATCTGCTCATTTTTCAACTGTCCTTTTCTTTTAGAAAAGTTTTTAGTTTCCATTTCTGGCAATGGAGAGAGGACTTTCACGACCAAAACGGCATGTTTCTCCTCAGGAAAAGGCAAAAACAAACACCCTGGGCAATGTGAGATCATTTTCTATAAGACCAAGAATCTGCCTGAAGATGTTACCAACCTGAAGATTTTTTTTCTCAACTCCAGAGCAATCTTAAAGAAGTACTCTTATGTAGTTAAAACAAATAAAAACAAACCACTCATGTGGTTCATTTGTTTCTTTATCTTGTATTAACTGAAAACTTAATTTTCTAAAAGTAACACGGACAGTATGAACACATTGTCATTTAATTACATAGCATATAAGCATAGCCTTTCATTTGTACAGATGTGGAGAGATTCTTCAGTGTTTAGGCTGGTTATTTCTGGTGGTAGAATGTCAGATTATTTGTTCTTTTCATCTTTGTATCTTCTATATTGCTATAATATTTTATCAATCTATCATTTTTAGAAAAACAAAATCATCATTTTTTAAAACAACACCACAACAGATGTTCTGGTTTCATATACACACATTTGAGTGAACTGAGTTTTTGTTTTTTTAGTTGCAATTCAGTCAAACTGACCCAAGTCTATCAAATGTATTCAAAACCAAAGAGATGATATACAAATTTTTCATTAGTTGTTTAACTGTGGTATGGATTAACTTTAAGTTTGTTGAAAACATATAAAACTTACCCTTGTAAAGCTTTATGAATTTGTTTGCACTTTTGCTTCAACACTGCAAAAATACCTGAATAAAAAAAATACATTTGATAGTACAGCTGCTCTTTGAACAGTATGAGGGAGTGGGATGATTAGGGACACTGAACCCACTGCACAGTTGAAAATTCGAGTATGACATTTGATTCCCCCAAAACTTAAGTTGTCCCTTGGTATTTGCAAGGATACCAAAATCCACGAATGCTTGTCTCCTATATAAAATGACATAAATCAATGCATATAGTCAGCTTTCTGCATCCTTGGACTTCCAACCACGGATCGAAAATAGTATAGGTATTTATTAAAAAAAACTGTGCATCAGTGGACCTGTGCAGTTCAAACCTGTGCTGTTCAAGGGTCAATTGTAAATTTGGAAAATCTGATATTACTAATCTAAAAATATTTTTTAAAGTTCAGTTCATCAAATTAAAATGCTGCAAATCCTTCTATATATTAATAATACACAAATAGACAGCCAGTAACTCCTCTGAAGACCCAAGCTTTTGTTCTTGGTACATACTGACACCTCCTCACTCTGCTTTCAGCAAAATTGGGGATGAGGTTTTCTACAACAAAACAATGCCTCTCGTTTTTATCAACACTACAAAAAAACTGGCTAAGAATAAAAGTACAAATATATTTCTTATTTCTGGGCCCTAAACAATTTGGTAAAAGATAGAGACTGTAGTAATCTTTTCCTTGATATTTTCCCTTTACTCAAGAAAAATTTGGAAACCAAAATAACTGAGTGGAAGACTGAAGGGGCCAGTCTATTTGACAAGCAAGCATATGAACATACACACAGAAACACATTTCTTGATCCTCTGAATTAAAACTAAAGTTGAAAATTTAGAAATTTAGAAAATTTAAAATTCAGAAATACCAAGTAGTGCTTTTACTGTTTTAGGCTTTGGTGAAGAGGCATGATCATAGCCATAAGCCACACTTTAAATTTAATCAACTTTGTCTGTTAAGTAAGCTTCAGTGGTTGGTAAACTAGGTGCCAACTGATGACTCAAAGGCTGAAGGGGAAACTAGACAACAGTTATAAAATTATATATTACAAAAATTAGTAGCATACTTTAGCAAATTTCTCAAAAAAATGATAAACCAAAAGATAAGTGGCCCAGAGCTGAAGCCCTCCTTTGGGCATCTTCACCCACCAAGAGAGCCAGTTGCGTTGGCTCCAGCCCTGGGATCAGGGGAGAAACTCTAAAGCTAATCTCTGAGGTAGGAACAACTGCTTCTCTGTTGTTCTTTCTATAAATGCCTGATAATGAAATTCCGAGCCAGACTTTTGTTTGATAAATCATTTCTTCTAGGTAATTCCTCCAAAAAGCACACCAGGAGCATGGCTAACATAATCTACAATGTCTTTGACCTCCTGGGTTTGTAGGTTATACCTGGATTCTCTTCCATGATGTTGAGGGCCTCAATTGCAGCAGCAGCTAACAGGGGAGGTAATGAAGCTGAAAAGCAGTATCCCTGACCGGAAAGTCGCTGAGAAGAAACAAGTTAAAAACATAAATACATTTCTCTTTATTTTTTGGCTAAAACATCTAAAGGCACCAAATCTCTGCATCACCTACTGAACAGTAAGTGCAAGTGGTGGGATAGTAAGATCCAGGCATGTATAAAAGTCACACATGTAACAAAAACAAGACATTTTCTTAAAAAGGAGATATTTTCTAAATATAGATATTTTAACAAATTGACTCAAATAAAAATTGTGGTAAACTCTGAATGAAATATTGTAATTACGAGTTACATTCTGAGGTGACAGGGCAATGAGTTTCAGTTGCTTTTGTTTTTAAAAAGAACCTACCTGATGGTCAATTACGAAAGACCTGCCACAGCAAAAACCCCCAATAGAAGCAAGTGAATTCTCCATGTTGGCACTGATAAGATCAATATCATCGATCTGCCAGAAAAGAGGGACAGTGCCAATTATTCCTCAATTAAAAAACAACAACAACAACAACAAAAAGACCAATGTCAAGCCTAGAGACAGTTTCATCACTAATCATGTCAAATCTGGATTCTACAAACTACTTATATGAGAACAGAAGATAAACCACACAAAATCTATCATTAAAAGGATTGACTGATGTCTCAAAGGCTGCCTGAAAGTATCTTGCTTTAAACTTTTTGCCATTTCATCATGCATTCAAAATTTATACACAATGGAAGAGAGAGATAAATTAAAAGATGAAATCCAAAGCTACATGATACTAAAAATATTCAGAAGTACAAAAGTAAGATCACTTCCTAACCTTTTCCACAGAAGGTACTTGAGGTAAATAAAAATCTATCAGTTTTGAGCACTTTATCCCTCCTTGCATTCCATTTACCCTTCATCTTTCAAAAAGAAAATCAATTTATCCAAATACACATTGCAATAAATTCTTTGACCAAACTAGACAAACTGGGCAATTGGATAAACCTAATGCGCCCCGTGGGCTTCTGAGTTCCCACTATCATCTCAGCTCCACAGTATTCCTTTGATCCTCACTTTCTGTGCCAGCCCCCAGAACCAAGTTCCATTATGGCTATGTAGCAGCCATTCAATAATTACTCACTGATGGCCATGATAATGACTAGTCAAATCACATCTGGTGTTTTTCTAAGTGTTCCAGAGATTCAACAAAGAAACCTGTGCACTCTTATCCATTTTCTTAAAAAAACCTATTATTATGAAAAATTTCAAAATACACAAAAGTAGAGAGAGAACAGAAGAAAGAATCCCATAATTATCAAATCAGGGACAGTCTTGTTCCATGTCTAGCCCTTGATTATTCTTGTTTCTTTGGAGCAAATCACAGACTTCATATGGTTTCATCTATAATATTTCAGTGTGTACTTCTAAAAGGCATGTAAAAAATTTCTTAAAATCATCAAATATTTGGTGGTTAAACATGTCTCACAAAGCTTATTTTTGTTTTACAGTATTTGTCTGAATCGGGATCCAAATAAGGACTATACACTCTGTACTTACTAAAGCCCTCATACATATTATCTCTGTGACAACTGCTGAAAGCAGTTAGAAAACTAAAATAGTGATATTAGTGACTTTTGCTTCTTTAAAATTTTCATGTCTTTAAAATTTTCTATTGTAAATTTTGAATTATGTTTCTTTCCATTTATCTTTGATTTCTCAGTGCATGTAACTGCCAAATGTCAGTTTGTCTCTGAAGAGCATGTGTCAATCTAACTTTTCTAGGTCTGTTATGGGTAGTGAGATGCAGTTAATCTAAGGTGATTTTATGTTTTATAGTTGAACTTCTTAACACAGGTTGCAAAACTTTTATGCACAAGATCTGGAGAAAAGCTTCCTTGTACTTGACTACACAGTAGAGAGTAAAGATGGTTCTCCAGATGGCCAACTTGCTCCTCCCTGAGGCATTAGGAGCACAAACCACTAAGATTGGGAACAGCTGGGGCTCACTTTTCTTCAGCAAAAGAAAACATGACAAACTCACTCCAGTTGTCTGGGACTTTAAAGGGGCTTTGTGAATTCGTGCCAGTGGTGTTTCTGACACTACATATCTATAAAGGCATGACTCTAAATTACAGAAAATATAGAACTTTGAATATTAAAAAGAACATCCTTTCACTGCCATCATATATACTTTCTAAGGACTACTTAGGCAATTCTTACTGATTTTAAGAAAAAAACAGAAGGCATATTTAACTGTTTCTAAAGGAGAAACACTGAAAGCCAGGATCAAAAGCTACCATGTAAATAGAAGACAAATTCTATATGATTAGCCACTGTGAGTTTACAGGTTCTGAGGGAAGACAGGCCCCCTGATCTGACTGACCTGATTCTCTCTCTGAGCGCAGTGAAGTGACAGACGTTAGAGCTGCACAGCCCTGTACATCCATGAGGAGCACTGTCTGTTGCCCATAAACCTACCCAGCAGAATAGAACCACATATTTTCAATATGAGGGGATGTTCTAAAAAGGAGAACTTACATTGATTCCAAAATGTTCGGTGACTCCTCGGCCATGCTCCCCCAGGACTCCAAATGAAAGACTTTCCTCCAGGAAGATCCTAGCTTTGTATTTGTATTTTAACCTCACCTAAATGTTAAGAAAACATAACTTTAAGATACTAATAATTAGCAACAAATAAAACATACAGGGAAGAACAAAATTGAACCTAAAATGAAAAGGAGAAAAAACCATGTTCCGTTGATCCTCAACATAGGAGGATTCTTATTTGTGAATCTGCCTACTTGCTAAAATTTATTTGCAACCCCAAAATTAATACTCAGAGCATAGGAGCAGAGTAGTGAAAACTCTTGAGACACCTGATATGGACATTTAACAGGTGACTGCTTCAGCTTATATTGTAAGTAAGTGTCCTTTTCACAGTCTATTTATTGCCATGTTTTTTTTTGCATTTTGTGATTTTTGTTGGTAATCTTGTTTAGAATGGCCCAAGTATAATATTGAAATGCTGTCTAGTGTCCCTAAGTGAATAAGGCTGTGATGTGCCTTATGGAGAAAATACATTAGATAAGCTTCATTCAGGCATGAGTTATGTTGTTGGCTACGAATTCGATGTGAATGAATCAACAATATTTATTAAATAAGGTGTCTTTAAACAGAAACATATAAAATGAGGTTATATATTGAGCAACTGATGAAAATATAAACAGAGGCTTGCAGAAAACTAACTCTGTGTTTGTCCTAGGAACAACAGTTCAAAATTCCGTAATTTATTATTTGCAGCATGCTTATAGAACATAACTACCACAAACAATAAAAACTGACTGTACTTCAGATACTCTAAAATAATTCAATTTAACTCAGTAATACAGAGAGCACAATGCCAATTTTTACAGAGGGAAATGTTAAGATATTATGAGTATAGATATGTAATCTATCTGTTAAATACTGATCTGATTACATAAAAACTCCTGGAGAAATGTATGTATTCTTCCCTTAGTGGCACTGTGTTTTAATTTGGATTCATAGCATTTTTTGTAATGCAGAAAGCTTTCATCAATATATCTTCCCATCTGTTTTCCCCTTTGCTTTCAGGCTTATAAGAAAGTCCTTTCCCATCAAAGGTTCAGATGCACATTTACCTCTACATTTTTCTAACTATTTCATGTTATTTTTTTGTTTACACATTGAGTTGAACATATCATGTTTATAGACCCCTCAATGTTTAATTGATTTACTCCTATATGATATGTATGAGATCAGTTTCACAGGTGAATTTAAATATAGTGATTATTAACCATCGAATTTATATATATATGAGAAATTGACATGTCAAATATTCCTGTGACTCATACATCTTTTCCTGTGCCAGCATCATACTTTTAATTCATGAAGATTTAATTACTAAGATCTTTTTCCACTGAAACCACAGAAACAATGCACAAAATGTATAAGATGGTTTGATGTCCCATAACACATCTCAGATAATTTATTTTTTAATTATCAAGATTTTATTGGCTAATCTTGCTAATCAATATCGTATTTGCTAATTGATATCAAAAAGCCCAAAGAGGCCTCACTGGGCTTTTTACTGAATGTTCATTAAAAATGAATAAACTCATTTGGGGAGAATCAAATCTTTTCAACAATGTCTCTTTTCTACCCATTAATATAAATGAGATAGTTTCTAAAAACATGTTTCTGCATACATTTATGATAGTACTGTTACACAAATAGACAAATCAATGAAAGAAAAGTAATCCCAGAGTCAAACCCTAATTTGTATATCTTTACATACTCAATACTTATATATACTTGATCTATCCCTACACTTTATGTTTTGTTTCATTGCTTGGCTGTTTCATTGCTTGCCCATCGGCTCTGTTCTATTATTGCAGCACTATAGCATACATTTCTAGTATCTTTTGGCCCACTCTCTCTCTCTCTCTTATTATTCTATCAGTCTTTGATACTCACAAAAACAAGGAGAGGTGAATAAATACATCTCTTTTATTGACATTTAGGATGTACCTACGTTTTCTCAAAAAATAGTGAAAAATTTTAAAAATAAGATATGAAATCCTTAAATTTATTTGATTGATGGGCTCAGTGATTCAAACTTATTTATTTTTAGTGCTATTAATTTTTTATTGTCTAAAAGAAAAAAATTAATGAGTGTCAACATCAGTGTAGTGCTTTTCATATATACAGATTTCAATTTTATTCTGAGGCAATATTTTAATTTATTAAATTTATTGGGGTGACACTGTTTAATAAAATTATATAGGTTTTGAGTGTACAATTCTATAATACATTATCTGTATCTTGCATGTGTGTTTACCACCCAAAGTCGAATCTCCTTCATCATCATTTATTTGACCCCTTTTACCCTTTTATACTCCCTTCCCCCTTTTCCCTCTGGTAACCACCATACTGTTGTCTGTATCTATGAGTTTTTGTTTGTTGCTTTCAATTTTATATCTGAAAAATCATGATTCTTGACTTTTTCCATCTGACTTATTTTGCTTAGCGTAGATTCAAATTTCAATGGTCAAATGCAAGGATGGTTCAACATAGGAAAATCATTCGGTGTAATACATCATAATAACAGAATGAAGGAAAACCACATAATAATACAACTGATGCAGAAAAAGCATTGGACAAAATCCAAACCTTTCATGCAAAAACACTCAACAAATTAGGAATAGGAGGGAACTTCCTCAACTTGATAAAGGGCATTTATGGAAAACCCGCAGCTAACATATGGTCAGTGGTAATAGCCTGAAAGCATCCTCCTAAGATCAGAAACAAGACATGATACCCACTCTCGCCACTTTTAGTCAATATTGTACTGGAAGTTCTATCCAGAGCAATAAGGCAAGAAAAAGAAATAAAAGGCATCCAAATTGAAATGGAAGAAGTACCGTACCTATTCACAGATGGCATCATCTTATATATAGAATAAGATTCACAAAAATACTATTTGAGCTAATAAACAAGTTCAGCTAAAGTTGCACAATACTAGATCAATACACAAAAATCAGTTTTATTTCTATATACTAGCAATGAACAATCCAAAAAAGAAATTAAGAAAACAATTCCATTTATAACAGCATCCAAAAGAATAAATACTTAGGAATAAATTTAACCAAAGAAGTACAAGACTTGTATAGTGAAAACCATAAAACATTGCTCAAAGAGATTAAAGACAATCTAAATAATTGAAAACACATTTCCTGTTCATGGATTAAAAGACATAATATTATTAATATTATTACTTCTCAGAGCAATCCATCCATATATTCAATACAATTCGTATGAAAATTTAATGGAATTTTTGTAGAAATGGGAAAGCTGATCCTAAAATTCAAATAGAATTTCAAGGAACCCCAAATAACCAAAACAATCTTTAAAAAGAACAAAGCTGTAGAACTTACATGTCTTGATTTCAAAATTTACTATAAAGCTACAGTAACTGAGACTGTGTGGTACTGACATAAAGATAGAAATATAAACAAATAGAATGAATTTAGAGTCTAGAAATAAGCCCATATAACTACAGTTAATTGAGTTTTGACAAAGGGTGCCAAGACCATTCAGTGTGAGAACAATAGTTTCTTCAACAAATGGTGCAGAGACAACTGGATAACCACATACAAAATAATGAAGGTGGGCCCCTCCCTCATAGCATATACAAAAACTAAGTCAAAATGATTCTAAGAACTAAAATAAGAGCTAAAACTATAAAACTCTTAGAAGAAAACACAGAGATATATCTTCATGCCACTAGATTTCACGACAGATTTTTTAGATAAGACACCAAAAAACAACAGTATGAGCAACAACAAAATACTAGATAAACTGTACTTCATCAAAATTAAAAACTTTTGTACATTAAAAGACGCTATAAGGAAATGAAAAGTTAAACTACAGAATGGGTCAAAATATTTGTAAAGCATATATCTGATAAGGGTCTAGTGTCCAGAATGTATGAAGAATTTTTATAACTTAATGACAAAAATACAAACAACCCAATATAAAAATGTACAAAAGACTTCTATAAACATACCTCTAAAGAAAATACACAAATGGCCAACAAATACAAGAAAAGAGGCTAAATGTCATTAGCGATTTCAGAAATGCAAATTAAAACCACATACTTTACATCTATTAGGAGGTCAAAAATTAAAAAAAAACAAGTAAGTGTCAGTGAAGATTTGGAGAAACTAGAACCGTCCTCCATTGCTGGTGGGAATATAAACTGGTACAGCCACTATGAAAAATAGTATGGCAGTTCCTTAGTAAAACATAAAATTTCCATGTAACCCAGCAATTACAGTGCTAGGTATATACACAAAGGAATCGAAAAGTGAAAACAAGGACTCAGACAAATACTTGTACACAAATGTTTATAGCAGCACTATTTATAACAGCTAAAAGGTGGAAGCAATCCAAATATTTATCAATGGATAAACAAAATGCCAAATATCCACAAAATGAAATATTACTTAGCATTAAAAAAGAATGAAGTACTGATGAAATATGAAAACATTAAGCTAATTGAATGAATCTAGACACAAAGGGTCATGTAATATAGTAGTCCCCTCTTAGGCTTAGTTTATGTTCTGTGGTTTCAGTTATCTACAGCCAACTGCAGTTCAAAAATATTAATTGAAAAATTCCAGAAATAAACAATTCAATAAACAATTCATAAGCTTTAAACTGTGTACTCTTTGGAATAGTGTGATGAAATCTTGAGCTATCCCACTCTGTCCTGCCTGGGACATGAATCATCCTTTGTCCAGCGTATTCACACTGTAGACACTCCGCTAGTCACTTAGGAGCATTTGGTTACCAGATCAACTATCATGATATCACAGTGCTTGTGCTCAAGTAACCCTGATTTTACTTAATAATAGCCCCAAAATGCAAGAGTAGTGATGCTGGCAATTCAGTTATGCCAAAGAGAAGCTGTAAAGTACTTCCTTTAAGTGAAAAGATGAAAGTTCTCAACTTTAGGAAAGAAAAAATCGTATGCTAAAGGTGCTAAGACCTATGGTAAGAACAAATCTATCCGTGAAATTATGAAGATGGAAAAAGAAATTTGTGCTTGTTTTGCTGCTGCACCTAAAACTGCAAAAGTTACAGCCACAGTGCATGATAAGGCTTAGTTAAGATGGACAAGGCATTAAATCTGTGGGTAGAAGACATGATCAGAAAATGCATTCCAATTGATGGCGACATGCTGCACCAGAAAGCGCTGAGCCCTTAAGACTTCAGCAAAGGACTCCCCCGAAAGAAGTGACCACACTGACATAACTTTTATTACAGTATATTTTATTATTATTGTTGTTACTCTTACTGTGCCTAATTTGTAATTAATCTTCACCATAGGTATGCAGGTATATATAGAGTTTGGTAGTATCTGCAGTTTCAGGCATCCACTAGGGGTCTTGGAACATATCTCCTCCCACAGGTAAGGGGGGATGACTGAATATCATTCCATTTACAGAAATATCCAGAAAAGGTAAATCCACATAGACAGAAAGCACATTGGTGGTTGCTCAGGGCTAAGGGAGAGGGAAAATGGGGAGTGACTGTTTAATCGGTATGAGGTTTTCATTGGGAGTGATGAAAAGTTGTTAGAACTAGATAGTTGATGGTTGTGCAACACTATGCAAGTACTAAATGCCTTGTTTTATGTGTATTTCACCTCAATTAAAAAATCTCTAGTCATGGTTTCTAAAAACATATTGTTCTCCTTGTTAAAAAGCTGAGTTTTATAAAACACATATTGTATAGCTTTATTTATATGAAATTTTATAAAAGGCAAAACTACAGGAATAGAAAGTAGATCAATGGTTGCACTGGGCCAGGTTTGTGGGTACTGACTACAAAGGGGTATGAGGAAACATTCTGCAGTGATAAATCGATATTTTCTACATCTTGACCACGGTGGTGGTGATAGGGGTATATACATCTGTCAAAACTTATTGAACTGTACACTTCAAGTGTATTTTATGATATGTCAATTATACCTCAATAAAGTTAGTTTTAAAAGCTGAGTCTTGATTACTCTTTAAAGGCCATAGTTGGCATCATTTAATGTTAATCTACTTCCCTGGTATGATCAGAATGTGCTTATGGTACCTATTATGCAAAGCAATGCAGATGTTATACATTAAAAATGGTCATAAACAAAAGGCAAACTGCCAAATAGTCTGAATACTAAAATAATTAATAATCACGGTTGCTTACCAATTCTGGAAGAGGACAAATAGTTCCAGTATTCATGTATAACCCTTCGACTACAATAAAACGTCGAGTTACACGAGCCTTGCGAGGATTCTTTAAAACAAAAATAAAAAATCCAGACATTTTAAATTTCAGTGACTCTAAATACAGTCTGTTGTATGCTTCCTGGCACTTTCCCCTTGCAAGATTCATCAAAATAAGTAGACAGACAGACAGGTAGGTAGTCTCGATGAATTTCAAGCCCAGGTTTAAGATACTGTTACTATGAGATGAAGATAGTGCTTTCTTCTCTCAGGCATGTTTTTCAGTTCATACAATCAACTAGGCTACCTTACACACACACACGATCCCCAGGCACTGAGAATATTAAAACAAAAACTAAACCTTCCAAGTCCAGAATGACTGGGAAGGGGCCCAGGGAATTTCCTGGTGAGAAAGGGATGTTTGATGTCATGATAGGGGCCATGATACTCAGGTTACATGGGTCTAACCAGTGGTCAAAACTGTATGGCAGGATTGTGCATTTCAGTGTCTGTAGATTTTATCTAAAATAAAAAGAACTATAACAATGATGTCAATCATCAACATAGAGATGTAGTAGTAGGGAGTCAGGTGGAAGATAAGATGATACAGGCTGGGAGAAGGGGAAGGAGGCTTCATTACACTATTGTTCCCTTTGAATGTGCCCCAAACTTTCTGTAACAAAAGTTAAACAGACAAACTCTGCTTTCCCTAATCAACCAAAAGAACAGATGAAAGCCTTTTCCTTCCTTATTCCTCACTACTGGGTCAAGTAAAATTCGACTATGACCTCATCTGGTAATGTCTGAAGCCAGGGAGGTAGAAGGGCTTTTTCAGACAACACACACCTTCCCACACCCCACTGATGGTGGGCTGCTAATAAACCACTCATGCTGCTGAATTTGTAGATGCTTCAGGTGTACTGGGCTGAAAAACAATGAGATCCACAGAGTTTGCTACCATCTTCCTACTCAAAGGCTTCTTGTCTCTAAGCTTCTGTCTGATGGATAACTAAAAACTCAAATATCAGAGCTATACTTTAATGAATATTTTAGAACCCATACTTGGAATGCTCAGAAAGTGTCTGTTTAAATATGCAAAAGTATCCACTGAGTTTCCTCGGTCATCTCCACTCGGTTATTAACACAAACCCGAAGGCTGGGGGTCCTTAGGACATAGGGGCATCCTGCCTCTGACTACCTTTCAAAAATGAAGTATTTTTCTTAGGATTTAAAAATATTCAATGTAGAAATCTTGTGAAATAAAAAAGTACAAAAAAGAATTTAACAAATTAGCTTATCACACCATAAATTGATAACTTTTATCTCTCTTGTACATACATATCTTTATAAATTAATTTGTTCAAATCAGGATTTTACTGCAATAGTTTTAGGACCTGAGTTTTAAAAACATTATGTTATGAATATTTCCACATTATTTAATATTATTTAAAACATGATTTCGGGAAAGATATAATATTCCACCTTGTAGATATTCAAAAATTAATGATTCTTCCAATGTTAGGACTAAGGTTGTTTCTCTTATTTTGCCTTTTCACATTGTATTGTGAATATCCTTCAATCTTTGACACTACTTCTAATAATCTTCTAAAGACAGCACCCCAGAAACAAGTCAGAAGGGTATGGATATTTAAGAATCCTGGAATATATTTGCTCACTTACCCTCTAGAAAGGCTGTCACTTGAAACTCTTCCCAGAATTACGGGACGGCTCTCTGTCTCATCACAGATATCAGTGTTTGGCATAGATTATTATTATTAAGAAATGTTCCCTACTTGAATAGGCAAAAACTCCTGGCCTAATTTTTCTAATTATTAGCGAGGCTACACTATTTTTCACTTGCTCATAGTTATTTGTATTTCTTCTTTGAATATATTTGTATTCTATTTTTAACAACTGTCATTTAACTATTTTTAGAAGAGTTAGTATGGAACAAGAGAACCCTGAAGGAAAAAAAAGAAAAGAAAATCATCTTGGGAAATCAACAACAAAAAAATTTGATTCAAACCTAAATTAAACTGCAATATTTTTATTTACTTTCAAGGGAAAGATGAACATTTAAGTAAAAAAAAAATCCCCAAATTTAACATTTATATTTATGTGAAAATGAAAGTGAGAAAGAATTATTTTTAAAAAGCAAAATGTAAAGTTATTTAGAAAGCCAACTCTTAGCAGGAAAATATAAATTCATTAGCAAAAAAGGTAAAAACTATAAAATAAAAATAAATTTCAAGATGATTTCTTGTTATTCATAAAGAAAGTTCCATGGATAATAATTCTGGTAAAACACACATATGAGAAACTTGAAATGTTTTCCAAATCTGTACAATACCAAGTTGGTAAAATAAATTCTATAGCAGACTGATCAGTGTTCTTCAATCTGGTAGCATTCTATTATTAAGTCAGAATAAGAGACATCTTTTGATAATATGTAGAAATAAAGTCATCAGTGGAATGGTCTCAATTTTAAGATTTT